TCGCCATGGAATCAGCACGCACACCCCCTACCTGACGTGCCACTGTCGACGAAATCTGGTCGGCAGTCTACCGAGGGGTATACCCACGGTAGTAGATGAATTGGTGGAGGTACGCGTGATACGAACCATATGGTAACAGAGACACAAGACACAAGATTTATATAGATTCAGGTCGTCAGCTTGACGTAACACCCTACATCTTGTGCTCCATTATTTTGTATTGATTGTGTATCAGATTTGATATCCCGTCTAGGGGACCCCTGCCTCTCCTTATATACTCTAGAAGGGTAGGGTTACAAAGAAAATATCATATTTGGTACTATACAATAAACCACATCTTCATGTAGTCTTGCGGTGCACGCCTTAGATCTTGTGGGCTGGGCCACCTTTGATGGTGTGGCCCATGTCGTGTCTTGTGGGTACCGGGGGCCATACCCCCACAAACGCGCCGCTGTGTCTGGATGTCTTGATTGAAACACGTCGGCCGGAAAACCACAGTCACAGTTAGGGACATGGAGGTCAGGAGGGACGAGGGCGTCTTTGCTAGACGCGTCGGGGTAGAATTCTCTAGGACGACCCCGTTTTCGCTATAACTGCTCCTGAAATATGTCTTTCATCTAATAAAATAGTTGTAATTTAACTTCAATCAAAACATCGCAAATTAATGTAAAAGATAACCATTTGCATTACAACTAAAATAATATAACCAACATTTATAGGAACAAAAATAAACCTTACACTAAACATGGTAAATATACTTCTAACTAACTAATTAACCTTAATATTGGTAAAATCAAACTAATATCTTCCTCCAAACCCTAGCCCATAGTTCCCGAATGTAATTTTTCTCCAAACCCTAACCACCGTTCAAACGTCAAATAACAACATCATTACAGTGACCGAGGCCGAGGAGAAGCTTGGGGGAATGGAAAGGAGGCGGGCAAGGAGGGCCGGGCGGCGACAGCCCTTGGGAAAGGCGGGAGGGGGCGGCGCGGTCGCCCTCCACCTCTTTTCGAAGTAAGGCGGACAGAGGAAAGGAGGTTCGCAGCGCGACATGTAGTCAGCGCTGCCGCGCCGTGCGATGTGGCACAGCAGCACCTGCCACGTCAGTCGGTCAGTGCCCGGGCCGATGCTACGTCACCCCTGCCACGCTGCCATGCATGGCGCGGCAGTGTTGTTTGGCCATGCCATGGCATTGGACACGGCCAAAAGTGTTAGTTTTAAAAAAAATAAACAGTGTCAGATTTAAAAATATTTTAAAAAAAGTGTTAGCAGTAAAAAAAAAAAAATTCAAGATGGCTCTCGTCCGTCGTCTTTGGCTCCTTACAGGCTGCAGCAGGCGGCAAACCATTCCGCAGAGAATCCCGCGCCGTTCCCCACGCGTCACCGAGGTGCGCCCCCTGCTCCCGCTCCCCTCCACCTCGACTACCAAACACTGATCCGGTCGCTGATTCGCTGGTGCTGCAGTTGAGGGTAAACAAATCCCCCAGTTGACAAAGAAAGCCGCTGCCGCGGTCCTGGCCCTGCCTGCTAGAGAGAACTCTTTTGCTCTTGGACTCTTGCTGCCGCTGTTCCCCCAATCGGCGCCGCTTTCTTCCTAGTTTCTTCAACGTTCCGCGCATCAGCATCCAAGACTTGGAATGGAAGGCACCGCGTCTTCTTAGCCGCGACTAGGGAAGCCGCGTCTTCTTGCCGTCTTCCCAGTCTTTGTGCAGGGTACAGCCGGAGATCAGAGATCTTGGTGCAGACAAGTTCTTGTGCAGTCTTCGCAGATCTTGGTGCGGAGAAGTTCTGTTTGCTCTTCCATCGATTTGCAGGGTAAATATCGTCTCCCTTCTTAACATGGATATATGCTTGTCGGCGAAGTACATGACATGCTGCTAATACATCGTTCCATATCAGTTTTTCTTCCCATTTGTAGTTCTCTCTAGGCGGAATCCTTGTGTTCTTGAGGGAAAAAAAAACAGAAAGGTAGCGTAGATGTGAGATTTGTGAACCTGTAAGTGACTTGTGGCACTGAAGCGCGAGAGTCAGAAAAATCTTGTGGGAAGCTCCAAGGAATGATAATGGACCCTCGTCCTCGTGATAATCTCAACTTTGGTGCTCGATTGCCCACCCCAAATCCACCCACCCCTCACATGATTAGCTTCTCCCTCCAACAGCCACAGCTTCAGTTCTTCCCTTCATATGGATTCCACAGCCACAACCACAACAACCCTCCTGTCAGCTCACATCCATCTCCACCCTCGGTCATGCCTAGCTGCACCACGCCAAGCCCGGCATCAACAACCACAACCGAGCCAGACAACGCCGAGGATTTCTCCGAGGCTGTTGCTGATGATGCAATCCTTGCTTACATCAACCAGTTCCTTCTTGAAGATGAGGATGAGTCCTATCCTGTTGCCAGTGCGCCTGTGGAGGATTCAGCACTCCTCGCAGCTGTCGAGAAACCATTCGTTGACATCCTCAAGTCTGCTAAGCCTATCACAGCAAAGGCCTATGAAGTAAAATCCTGGATTACTGATGATTGCCATTCCACGGGAAGCGGAAGATTTCATGATGTGGTCACAAGTAGTTTGGACTCTACCCAATTGCCTGGTGAAATGGTTCAGGGGGATGTAGTTGGTGCTGTTCATAAGGGTCAAAAGAACCCACGTGATGATGACTTGGAGGTGGAGGGGAGGAAGAGCAAACAGTCCGCATTGTGTGATGAGGAGACTGTCCGAGAGATGTTTGACAAAGTGCTGTTGTGTACCGATAAGAATTGTGCGTTCAAGTCACCAATGCCAGCCGATGCACAAATCAGCGGGGGATATGTGAAAGGATCTGGAAATAGAAGAGGGCGAAGGAAGGGAGGATCTGGTGCTGGTGCAGAGCAGGAGCCAGTCGATCTCGCAACCCTACTTATTCATTGTGCTCAGGCTGCGGCTATTGATGACCACAGAAACTCAAGTGAGCTGCTGAAACAGATTAGGAAGCATTCTTCTGCTACTGGAGATGCTGGCCAGAGATTGGCGCACTACTTTGCTGATGGGCTCGAGGCTCGCCTAGCTGGCACTGGTAGCAGCATCTACCGTTCACTTGCTGCGAAGAGAACTTCTACTGGTGATATGCTGAAAGCGTTCAATTTATATGTTAAAGCATGTCCATTTAGGATAATATCGCACTATGTTGCAAATATGACCATCTTAAATGCTACAAAGAGTGTGACAAGGTTGCACATTATAGAATACGGGATAATGTATGGTTTCCAGTGGCCAATCCTCATGCAGCACCTCTCAAAGAGATCTGGTGGCCCCCCAATCCTTCGAATCACTGGTATAGACTTTCCCCTGTCAGGATTCCGCCCTGCAGAGCGTGTTGAGGCGACAGGGCGACGGTTACATGAGTATGCCCGTATGTTCAATGTTCCATTTGAATATCAAGCCATTGCTGCCAAGTGGGATACTATCCAAGTTAAAGATCTCAATATAAAGAGCGACGAGTTCATTGTCGTTAACTGCCTTTACCGAATGAGGAACATGATGGACGAGACGGCGACAGATGACAGCCCGAGAACAAGGGTTTTGAACACAATCAGAAAGTTGAATCCCAATTTGTTCGTTCATGGGATTGTCAACGGTACTTACAATGCACCCTTCTTTGTGACACGGTTTAAGGAGGCTATGTTTTTTTTCTCTTCAATCTTTGATATGCTTGAAGCAAATGCCTCACGGATGGATGAACATAGGCTGCTGATAGAAAGAGAATTCTTTGGACGGGAAGCTGTTAATGTGATTGCTTGTGAGGGTACAGAGAGGATTGAAAGGCCAGAGACCTACAAACAATGGCAGATGAGAAACCTCAGGGCAGGCTTCCGGCAGCTACCTCTGGACAGAGAGATAATGAAGAGAGCAAGGTACAAGGTTAGCAAGACCTATCCGAGGGATTTCCTCGTGGACAAAGATAACAAGTGGATGCTACAAGGTTGGAAGGGTCGTGTCATATATGCTCTCTCAGTATGGAGTAGCTAGACTTGTAAATCCTAGTGAGCTTAGCTGACATCTTCCATTAATTTCTTGATTTTTCACCATTTCATTTTGTTGTATTATGATTACGTTAATGAATCTGTCCCTCGTCTAGGAACCAAAGTTTTGTAAGTTTGAATTGACTGCCATAAAAGATTTTTGTCTGTGTGCCTGACATATTTGCGTAATAGTGTAAGAGGTTTCTCTTTGTCCCTATATCATAGGGTAGAAGACACTAGCACTTTTTTTTGGGTATCATTTCATTGTTTGCTACCATCTCTTGAGTAAAAGATGTTGAGGCTCAGCTGATACCTTTTACAAATCTGTAAACTGTTTTGCCAATTAATCTTCTGTGATGTTATGTTGATGAATTTTGACCTTCTCCGGGAGTAAAGATGTTAAGTTCGATTTGACTGGAATAAATATAACTTCTAGGTATATGCTTGACATATTTGTGTAATAGGGTAACAGTACGCTAATTTTGTTTCGTTGAACCGGTAGGCTGTAGCGCCACGAAGTTTCACTTCATGGTTTCAATGTTTGAAATCATCGCTTCAGTTGAGTTAAAAACATTGAGGTGATAGTCGTCAGCAGCAGCACTCCCATGGCCATAGGGGTCTGATGAAGCTCCTATATCTGCCTTGTTCAGAAAACAAGCAGGATGGCTGCAGCTTTCACCGCTAGGTTGTCACTGGAAGGACGGGGGAAGTTGCAGCTGAAGAATCCAAGCAGGTGGCTAACTGTGCTGGATAAATTGTGCCCAACGATTTATGCAAATAGGGGTTCCTAATTACTATCATATTGGCTCTTAACAGTTTACACAATGGCAACTAGACATTCAGCAGTGTACTGCAAACAATGCACCAATTTCTTTCTTCAGTTTTAATACAGCTTTGCAATTGCACCAAACTGGAGCTCCATGCTCAAGCTACCTGGTTATATCTCCAGACACCATGAAATCTAGAACTTGGAGTAGGCTTCTCAGCAGCTCACTCAAAACCGAGCAGTAATCTGGGAGAACAGTGCCCGAAAGTCCTTTGTTGGTGTGCCCACACCTTCAGGCTTCGAGGCCAAATCAAATGCCTTCAACTTGGTCTCTTCATACTGCAGAGCCTATTATCAGAGAAGAAAAATGATTAAACTCAGAATGGCTGTCTCACCACGCTGTCCAATCGACTCATGGCTATACACAATTTTAACCAGGTCCTTTCAGACAGATCTGTATAGAGATGGTGGCTTAGAGTATATATATATATATACCTGGACACAAACCTCAGCCACATCGGCTCTAGGAATCGACTTTGTGTCAGTCTGGAGAAGTTCATCGTCTTTCCCCACAATTAACTCTCTCACTCCTCCATCCTTGTCTTGTAGACCTCCTGGCCTAAAATTTAAGGCACAGAAGAAAGCAGCATCAGATTATGTAACAGAGAAGGAAATGAGATTGAATATTTTCTTTTGTATTAGCTTCATGCGATTTTCAGGCTTTACACTAGAGATGTACTAGATAGTACACAAAGTATTTTTTCAGTTGTCCAAAAACAAGGATCAGCACATTGTCCCTTAAGAGTCCAGGTAAATACCTCTTTACTTCTTTACATGCACAAAACAAAGAGTAATAATCTACTGAATCGAGACTACCATAACAAAAAGCAGCAGTAGAATTTTCTATCTGTTCTAAATATTGTGTACTATACTACTCTGTACCTTATGATTGTATAAGGGACTCCACTGTCTGCCAAATACTGTTCTGCCTTGCGCTTCCATACCTACAGCAAACATATGCAATAATCAAGATCCCACTTTTACAATTTGTGAATAGTAGTTGCCTAATGGAACAGTCAGATTTTAGCTTACCAGTATATTGCCATTACCCAGGCTGTTCAGCGGATGGTTAGGATTTGTTCCTCCCATAGATCCCACCAACACAATATGCTTCACTCCAGCAGCTTTAGCTGCCAATATAGGTCCAAATTAACAATCATTTATGCTCTGAAGTATACGATCTACCAAAAAATCAGAAAGTGAAGCACTGAGCAGAATGAACACATACCAGCATCAATCTGATTCTTTTGGCCAACCCAATCCACCTAAAACAACCACAACCAATGTTATCACAAATTAAACTGTTCAAGCAAATTCTACTAATGCGCATACAATCTTGGACAAGATTCATCAACCCACCTGCTCAGGGTACATTCCATCTTCATAGTAGAACTCAGGCCTCCCACCTTTGCTAGGGTCGAAACCCGGTTTCATTTTTGGGACTGCACTGGTGAGGATTATGAGCGCATCAACCCCTTGTACAGCAGGTGTTAGACGATCTCCGTCTCGTATGTCAGCAATGTAAACATCACCGGCTCCCCCAATCTTCTGCTTGCTCTCCTCTGTCCTGACTAGCCCTCTTGCCACGAACTGCTCGGACCTCTCTTTCAGTTTGTTGTAGACAATTTGGCCTAACATCAAGTTAACTCCCGAGTGAACAGTTAATGCAAACAGAAACACAGTTGCAGAAATAGCTACAGACCCACTGCAGCCTCACTAGCGTTACAATTCAGCACTAAACTGTAGGAGCACGGCAGCCAAATTGAGCAAAAAACCAAAATCCAAGGCCGTTCCCATTTGGATCACCATTCCCTAACCACTCTAGCCAGCCAAATTCCCCATATCAACAGCTTTGAACAACAGGCGAATCGGCTGATCATCAGTCTGTTTCTTCCCTTCCCTATGAAGCAGTACTGCAGCACGCGCGGCGAATGCGAGGGCCTAAATGCTGCGCTACCGGAGCTGACGGGGAAAGCAGAGCTACCTGTGCGGCCGCCGGCGCCGGTGACGAGGACGGTTGGACGGGAAGCGGCCGAATCCGCCATGACTTGTCGCGACGATTCGATTCTTGCTGGACACCCACCCCCTCGCGGTTGGTGTTGTAGATAGCCTCGGCGGCAGCCCGGAGGTGGGTTTGAGAACCGTCTAGAAGGTCGTGCCGATCCGACACGCCCCAAAGCCAAGAGGGCGCCGCGCGGCGCGGAGGGCGTCCACGTCACCCTTGTCAAAGTAGTAGGCCCACACGAACCAGCCCAGCCCAGCCCATACAAGGCCCGCTCTCGATAGAACGGGCTGACTGCCCACATCATCGTCAGATCAGAGAAGAAGGGAAAAGGGCTAAAACCCTAGCAAAAACCACCTCGCCGTCGCCGTCGCCGTGGGACGAGGCAGACATGGCCGCGGGGGGCACCGCCGATTTCTTCTACCGCGAGTCGCAGCGGCTGGGCTACGTCGCCCGCTCTGCGTTTAAGGTCAGCTCCCGCGTCCACCCTGAACCCCTGTTGTTATCTCCTCCCCTTTCATAACGCTGAGCAGTTGCTTCGCCGCTGCAGCTGATCCAGATGCAGAAGCAGCACAAGCTCATAGCGCCGGGCGCCGCCGTTCTCGACCTCGGCTGCGCCCCCGGCGCGTGGCTCCAGGTTAGCGTCCATTACCTCTTCGTCGTCTCCTCAAGCTCTGAGTACGCAATCAGTCCTCATTTCCACATGTGTTTGATTAACTTGCTCGGTGGGGCTGCTGCTTGCAGGTGGCTTGTCAGAACCTGGGCCCCCTCGAAAAGGGTGGCGTTGTTGTCGGCGTCGATGTTAAGGTCAGTTGGCACTTGGCAGTTGAATTGTCATTGGTCGGTGCGATGATTGTTGCTGGATTGGTGGTTTGTCTGATTCAGTAACTCGGTTGTTGCAGAGCAGAAGGTGAAGGTCCCCTCTGCGCACTGTGACTCACGGGTCAGGACAGTCCGCGCAGATGTCATGACTCTGATGAAGCAGCAGGCTCGGGCGATGTCGCCGCAGGTTAGATTACTTGATTGTTGGTGGACTGATTGAATACTTGCTTCGATGTGATGATTGCTACAACAACGAATAGTGTGGCATATTGCTCAGTTAGCTTTGGATTTTACTGTTGCTCAGTTAGGTTTGGATTTTACTGAATCTCATATTTGTCCTAACTACTTGTTTTGTTTGTATAACTCGCGAAGCTAGTTTTTAGATTAGATAGATGGAATGGCAAGAATTCCTATATTTTCAAAAAGAGTCAGGCAATTTACTATAGCGAGTAGCCGAGTAGGGACTAGAGATGCAGTAATTGATAGTGTGGATTCTAAATAACTGAAAATTGAACGTAGAGCTAACTGTGGTTCTGTAAATTTGTAAGAAAACCATGTATTTATTCAGCCTTCAGCGGTGAAATGAAAATAACAATTGTCAGTTGTTAAATTGAACATAGAGCTCACTTATTTTGCTCAGCACTCCCCTTTGTGATTTACGTTTAGCAAACCCTCCTTCCTTTCCTCCAATACTAATGTTAGGAGGATTCATCTATCGGAAAACCAATATTTCCCTTCTTGGTTTTTAGCTTATGAAATATGGTTAGAAAGACTTTAGCGAGCATTTCAGTTATAGTGTGTCCTGTGATCTTGTAACCAGTATTAGCTGTAGTTTGATTAATGGATCTTAATAATATTTTATCCTCATGTACAGGAACGAGGATTCTCTGTGATACTGTCAGACATGTGTCCACCAGTTTCAGGGATCACAACCAAAGATGGAGCTATATCTTGTGAGTTGGGCATGCGTGCTCTCTCGTTGGCAGTAGGGAAGATAAAGTTAAAAGAGTCTGATTACAGTGATACTCTAGAGAAGTATCTGAGCTCCACCGAGCCTGATCCTGATGAGGATGGTGTTCTTCGTCGTGGAGGCAACCTAGTAATGAAGTTTCTTGAGAATGAGGACATATCAGGTCATTATAAGTTCTGACCATTATCTGATCTCAGTGCTGCTCTTCCACTAAAGCTTAAATTAATTGTACTGTTTCATCTGACATAGTGACCATTTGGCCCAGTTAAAACTGACCCTGACTGTCTACCATTGCGTGGCGCAGGGTTTGGCAAATTCTGCAAGGTGAAGTTCAAGAAAGTATCCTTGTTGAGACCCAAGGCGACTCGACCTAGCTCGAGGGAGATCTACATGATCTGCGAAGGTTTGCGGTAGAAAGGAGGCTTTCATAAGGCAAGCGGAGACTCCACGACGCTAGGTCATTTCAGTTGCCCTGAACTGGAGGCCATTGTTCTAGCTGCTGGCTAACTGGCAATTTGACACAACTGTGTTTTGATCCTTCGAGGGAAAGATACAGCAAAACCTTGGTGTTGCCTGTGTGATAAATTTTATTGAACCGTGCTAGTAGTTCGTCTATAGGAGAAAAAAGATTGAGCTAAATCCTTTCTGTGAGCCTGAAATACTTGCTTTCTGTGTTGCAAATTTCCATTCCTCCGGGCCAACTCAGGTTGTGCCCCGAGAAAAGCGAGAACATTTGCGGGCCATGGGCCTGCTGGGCCGCCCCCACATTGCGGCTTGCGATGGCCTAGCGAGTCAGCGTCTCAGCGAGTTATGCGCGGTGATGGACCGGTGGAAGTGCCAGACGCGGACGCGCGCCAGAAATTTCTGAACTGCAGGACCTGCGAGAAGCCGATAACAGACACAGACAGTGCCACGGAGACACGACCATGCCACGCTGGCGCAAACCTTTTGTCTGTCAAGCAACCGGCTGGCTCCACGTGTCGCGCCCCCAACCACAACCTGGTCTGCCGGTGCGCGAGGTGGAGCCCACGTACCGAAGCGATATGCTCGCGAGTGTTCGGCTGGCTAGCCAACTAGGGCTGGGCTGGCCAGCGCAGACACGAAAATACTGTTCATGTGCACAGTAATTTTAAATAGAATAGTATTTTTCTCTCACAATAATTAGCTAAAACAGCATTTTAACTTATTTTTTCAGTCGTGCCGAATAGCCCCCTCGTCTGCTCTGCTCGAGACCGTACCATTTTCTAGCCTATCCATCCATCCATGGCTTCTCCGGAGACTAATCAATGTTTGAGGCTGCATTTGAGCGACCACACCAGCCTGGGATCCACTGCGATTAGGATACTCGCTCTCAACTCCTCGGTTGGATTGTGGTACTTATCCTCCCTTGGTTTTCAAATACTAGTACTTGTAAGTCTTGTCACCAAGCTTTTACTTTTCCAAATTTGTCATTTGCCGCCAATGTGAAAACTCAGCTTTGTTTGATTATTTTTCGTTGAAATTTGGCTTATACGTTTATATTGATTTATTGCAGGAGAAAAACACTGTTCATCCGCTAAAAAATACCGCTAAAGCAGTTCACGTTCGCTTCCGCTACACTTACTATACTTGTGTATTTGGCATTCTTATACATACAGCTAGGTAACTTCAATAAGACACGTGCACATTAGGCTTGCATAAGTTTTTGTTTGCCATAAGTAAAACGAAGAGAACTGGAGTACGTACTCTACTTAGGTAGAGACTCCATTTTTTTTTGAGAAAAGGTCAGACCTCTTTAGGTTCTATTTAAAATGCAAATTTCTTTTCTGTTTTTCTATAAATAAAGTGATTTGAGAATCCTCGGCGGAGGTGTAGACCATTCCACCACTTTCGACCGACGCACTTTCCCACGCACTGGCGAGTTGGTGACACGTAACTCTCCCAACCATCCTGCCACCTCCCTTACCAGCGACCGCGCACCCACGTCCCACTGACATCCGGGCCCGGTTCCACCATGGCCCCACGAGTCATGCAGCGCTCGGGCACCGCACGTGGGCCCACCCCCTCCCGTCACGCCAGTACAGCACCGCCACTCCACGTGGGCTCGCGCGCTAGTGTGGTGTTGCACTTGCGCTTGAACCACCGGTAGGTCCAGCACCCACCGGCCACCGCCTATCACTGTGTTCGGCTGGTGCAGTGTACAGTGATTTTCGGATGGTTTTGGATGATTCAATAGTATTCTGTGAGAGAAAATAAGCTAAAACAAGCTGGCAGTGTACCCCTCCCACCTCCTCCACCGTCCTGCTTGTTTGCTTGCTCTGTGTCTGTCGCGGCGAGGGGAGAGGTGTAGAGCGACGGACTACGCCGCTTGAGATCAAGACATCATCCCGAGGGAGACACTGAGAGAGAGATGGAGGTGGAGCACGGCAAAGAGATGATGGCAGTGGCGGCCGGGGAGGAGGAGGGGTGGCAGACGCCAAGGTGCAAGGAGTGTCGGGTATCGATATTAGGGATACCAAAAGCAATGAAGTTAGCGCCCATGCTGACTTCTCCGGATGGGGCAAGACGTATTAAAAAGTCTCGTCCGACCCTAAGGCCACGGGCTCCGTCTCGCCTGACCTCGAGGCCGCGGGGGTCTCACCCAAGGCCGCGGGCTTCGTCTCGCCCGACCTCGAGGCCACGGGCTCCGTCTCGCCCGACCTCGAGGTCGCGGGCTCCGTCTCGCCCGACCCCTAGGCCACGGGCTCCATCTTGCCCAAGGCCACGGGCTCCGTCTCGCCCGACCTCGAGGCTACGGGGGTCTCGCCCAAGGTCGTGGGCTCCGTTTCGCCCGACCTCGAGGTCGGGCGCTCCGTCTCGCCTGACCCCTAGGCCGCGGGCTCCGTCTCGCCCGACCCCTAGGCCACGGGCTCCGTCTCTCCCGACCCAAGGACGTGGGCTCCGTCTCGCCCGACCCCAAGGACGCGGGTTCCGTCTCGTCCGACGGGGACCCATACCGGCGCCAACCACTCCAGGTCCAAGCGTATAGCCCTAGGTCAAAACTTTGACACTAAGGAAGAGACTGGCACGCCTCGATGTAACACATGGCCATGACGGGCCGTACCTGAGGATTCACATTAAGAACGGCGTCGGGCGTGCCAGTGCTGTTCTGGCTAACCCTCGTACGAACGCTGACGTGCTGAATAGAGGGCTATGCATATATATAACCCTGAATTATGGTTGGTAAATCAATCTGAAATGTAAACTATTGAAGAAGTACATGATCATAAGATAGGAGAAACAAGGTAAAGAAATATGTAATACGCAATATGTTGCGGCACATCGGGATTCCGTTAGAACTTAACATGATTCGAAAGAGGAAAATTGAACTTAACAACTGATTAGACGTTACGTGATGGTTGGTTTCTCACAGGCAATAGTGCCATAGAAGTATGGTGCGACAACACAAATTCAAACAGAAATCTAACGCGATGGGAGAGAAACCTTGGTTGATGGCATCTTCCTGGCGATGCGCACGTCGCTGATGGTCGCGTAGGTGGTAACCGAATATTTGGGTGCCCCAGGGCTGAGGCAGACATCGTTGTGGTAGGAGCTGAGGCAAACGTCATTGTGGTCATCGTCAGACGGCCCTACACCGCCGCAGCCAGTATGCGGTCCTTGCTCCTCCGCGCTGTAGTATGTCCGTGCCCCCGTGCCTTCATGCGCCGCCGCCCGTCCACATGGCTCTCGCATGGCTACGCCGCACCCCCACATACTTGCGCCCCCGGCCATACTGGAGGCCTCATGCTACCCCAGTGGCAGGGGAGATATTACATGTGTAGAGGGTGGTGGTGGAACATGTCCATGACACGGGTAAGGAGGCAGGGCAGAGCGTCTGGGTCCTCTAGGATGCCCTCCAGCCTTGGCGATCGGAGCACCCCGACGGTTAGAGAAACCGAAGGGGACAGATGCGCTCGCAACACACGAGGAAGGGCATGTGGAGGGAGGCACTGGGGCCGCGGCAGGCGGAGAAAGACGTGGACGACATGGGAGGCAGCGGTGCGAGGCCAATGGAGGGGAGTGGGAGGAAGAACGGCGGCGGGGAGGGTGCGGGGTGACGGGAAGGGTCTGGCGCTGCCTTTAGTCTAACGGCTCGTGGAAGCCCATAAAAAGATCCAATGGCTGAGAATTTAGGAAGACGTGGCTGAATGAGGGGTCAATACGTGGCTAAATGAGGGGCTAGAGTTCATGGTGCAAGATTTGTCAAGTAAAAGATTGGAGCACCCCGGTGGTTAGAGAAACCGAAGGGGACATATGCGCTTGCAGCACATGAGGAAGGGCATGTGGAGGGAGGCACTGGGGTCGCGGCAAGTGAAGAAAGACACGGATGACATGGGAGGCGACGGTGCGAGGCCGACGGAGGGGAGCGGGAGGAAGAACGGCGGCGGGGAGGGTTGTAACACCTCTAGTGATAGGCTTGTATAATTGCACTTGCATTTCATGAACATGAGCATTATTCATCCATTCATGAGCATATATCACCTGAAACATATTATCGAAACATATGCAACATTCGCAAATTCTGTTTGTATTCATACTTGAATTGCTTGTGAATGGTAGTAATGCAACATGAGTTTCTCATACCTTGCAACATGTGCAACTCGCTTTAGTGGAATCTAGCTAGTTAGTACGAGGCAACAAGATCATGAAACATGTGAAACAGGACCTTGAAACAAATGTAGCATTTCAATTGTTTTTCATCGTTTCAATGCATTATGTGCTTGATTCTTGTGTGACCAATGTGTGGTATGGCTAAATATATTTTTAAACACCTTAGCTATTCTTAGAAAGTCATTAGGAACAATGTTCATGTTAACCACTTTGCCTAATTAAGTTTTCAAATAGTGGTTGACTTGTTTTGACTCCTGAACTCTTTGGTTTGACTGTTTAAAAAGTGCAACTTAGAGTCTATGCATGCCTGAACAATCTAAAGCAAAGTTTTAGCAATTTTAATAAGGAACAAACTTTGTTTTGAAGCTAAGTCATGAAAATGTGCACAACATGTTCAAAAGGGACCCACAAGTCAGAAGTGAAAGCTGATTCAATACTTAGCAAATTTTCTAAGTCCTAACTGCAATTTTAGTTGGATCAAGCCAACTTGGGCTTGATGTAACTTCGGATCCATGGCGAATTTGAGGATTGGCATTGAAAAGAAGTTGTAG